AAAAGGAATGTTTCAAGTAATCATAATACTTATGCTTGATTTTAGTAACTCTAAGTTTAATAATTATTTATTAGTATAAGTATTTAATATAAGTAATAAAAAAAGAAAACCTGCACTTATTGAGTGAAATGATTTACAGATTTTCTCTTTTTATTACTCATATGAGCTGTTCATTTCTCATTCAGCTTCTTATTCACATTTGTCAGTATAATTATTATATCTGCAAAAACATTCCTAAATTATGCAGAATAGTATAACTAGATCTGTACAGTATAGGTGTGATTTGTGTTGTTAGATGAAACCTAAAGGTTTCACCACAGGCTAAAGTCAAAATTAGTTTCAACTTTTGCAAAAAAATAATTAAAATGCTGAAATAGCAAAGCTGCTAAAAGGTGGTGAAACTAGAAAAGATAATGAAATTAGTAAATAATAAGAAAATTAGTATAAAAAAGGCAAGAATAAAAAGTATTCATATATACATGCATGAACATACTATCATATATAATGCTTTTTAATCAATAATCTAAAATTTATAATATTTGATCTATTATTTATAAGTTAATAATACAACAATAAATTTCTTGAAATTAGTCCTGAGATTTTGATCAGATAAAATAAAGTATCGGAAAATAATTTTATACTGATCAAATTTATATGAGCATCCATTCTGATTTAGTATACTGTAACTCTAAAATAACATGATGTTACACTATATATAAAAATTATCAGGTTGAATTGGGTCGGGTCAGGTTTTGAAATAGACCCGACTTAAATGACCCAAACTCGATAAAAAATTTTTATGCCAGGTCGGGCCCAGGTCAGGTTTTTAATAGATCTGAGTCAGGTTTAAATGAACCCAACCTGACCCGTCCCATCCCGTACCCAAACCCAATAGAGTAAAGAGCTGATTTGGTTGCATTGATGACAAAAGAAAGGAAATGAAGAGTTATATTTATAAAAAGTATGAGAAATAGAAAGTTTATCTGTAAGAATTTTAACTCAAAAAGTTTTCAGAGTAAATAAGTAAAAGTTGTAAACAAAATTAAAAATTTTTTAATTGTTGTTAATATGAAGTCATATAACTTTTTAGTTAATGTCAGATGCAATAATAGACTATTGTTGAAAACAATGTTAAAATGTCTAAAGTGTTATAATATAAGTTTACATATAGTTTGAATAGAATGTCAGATAGTAATTTTAATAGAAAATTTATTAATAAAAGAAGTATAGTTAAGGTTGTAAAGATTATTAGTTAAAAATATTAGGTAAGATAATATTTAGTAATTACAAGCAAGTTGATCAGCAAAATTATTAAACAAATATCTTGTTATGCAGTAACTTTGTGAAAAATAAGTTAAATTTCATAAGACTTAATAAAGTTAATAAGTATTTGCCAGATAAAGAAATATAAAATATGAATATGAGAAAGAGTAGATGCTGATTGGCAATGTTATAATATTTGGAGATTACTAATTGTAAGCAGTATATATGTAAACAAAGCAATGTCTAGAAGCAGTAATAATTGCTAAGAGAATAGTAAGAATTTTAGCTTTGAAGAAACATGGCCACAGTTTAACTTGTATCTAAAATGAGTTAATTGTTGTAGAATTATTAACTTAAACCCAACCTATGCCCATAGAGCACTGCAAGGTATCAAGATCGATAACAGAAATAAATAAAAGCTATAATTCTAAACATAATAATGAATATCTATTAGTGCTGACTAGTTGTTCTAATATTAGTAAAATTATTATGCAATAATGTGTAACAAAGTAATTTATGTAATACAACTCTAGGTGTAGTAGTTAGGTCTTTTGGTAAAATATAGTTAAAGATGTGTTTTTTTGAATCTACTATACAGTCTGCATAGCCTTAGTCTCTAAAGACTTCTACTATTAGGTTTTGCATTTATATATATAATACACTACTTCATATATATAAAGTTAGGCTCTTGTTATTTTTAATTAGTGTTCCAAGATTAGTTTAAACATTAGTTTTAGTTGTTTTGTGTTTTTTTTTACTTTTTTTCTGCATATTGGTGATGGTCAAATTTGCAGATCATTTGGCCAGTTGGATTTTATTAATTAGGTAATACAGATTTGTTTTTTTTTAGATTAAACTAAACCAATTTCCAATTGGTAATTTAATTCTGAATTATAAAGCTAGTCAGAATTATGCCAGCTAACTAAAATTATAAAAATTAAACTGTGCAGCCTCAAAAAATGCCTGCAATGTGTCTTATCTCTAGGTATAGTATTGTTTTACAGTAACAGTATTATGAGTACAGCATTACAATTATAGCATTATGCTAAGTAATATTTATAGCAATTAGTAAAATTAATTTTATCTTGTGATAGAATTCTATAATGCTGTAATTCTATCACCAACTACATTTTCTACTAACTTGCTTAAATAAGATAGGTGGCATATAAGTACCATCTGTCATGCTAGTAATAATAATAATAAAATATATATAAAAAAAAAAAACTCTTAACAATACAACAAGCAATAATCAAATAAAGTAACAGTCATATGATTATAAAAAAATCATGTAATAGCATGTTACCATCTAACAGCCAGTCGCCAAATACAATATTTTTAATTTTTTAGTATTGTTAGCTTCAAATTTCACAAAACACATATTCAAATAAGGCAATTTCAGAAAACTAGCAACAGACCAATTAGCACCTACTTCAACTATGTTAATAGAAACAATAATAACAACTAAAAACAATGCCAGAATCTAGAAATAAAATATTAAAATAGTCTTCTGATTCTGACATTTTTCTATTTAACAACTAGCCTGCTACAAGCAAGAAACTATTAGCTGATGTTGCTTTTTGCTTATTCTACTATTATAATGATGCTTGGCACAATCTCACTTGCTAATTTTTTGGGAACATATTATTGTTTTAGTTTGAATTACTTAGCTAAAATTACTTACAATGTATTTTATGAACTTTAGATTCTTTAATTGAATTTATTTCTGGCACTTTTGGCAAGCCAGCATTTATTCAGTTATCTATGCTTTTTAAGTAATAAAAGTAATAGACTTTACTTTTAATGTAACTACTTACTTGGGTAGTAAATAGGACCTTAATTTGACTTCAATTATATGCTAACTGTGCTAATATTAGAACTAATTTTGGGGCTTATAATATTTAGATATAACTAGTCTTTTTTGTTTCTTAAATTTACATTAAAGTAAAATTTAAAATAAACATTAAGTAAAAATTGATTTTTGGTACTCTAATAAATACATTCTACTGTAGAGTAGTAGTGCCAAAAGCTTATTAAAGCAGGTGATTAGTGTAGTGCAGTAATGAATAAATAGTAGTACCAAAAATTTTTTTATTTTGTTATATCTGCTACTGAATCAACTACTTATATTAGTTGCCCAATAAATTATTTTCTCTTTACTAATTTGGCTATTCTTTATTTATAAAAACTATCTATTTTAGTATTCATTTATCAATTTCCATAATTATTATCTCTATTAGTTATTCTTATTAGTTAAAATGATTATACTTCATTTCTATATATAGTTATTATTCTACATATTTATTAATTTCTAAAATCATCAATAATTATATTATTGGTTATACAAAAATTGTTTCTTTAGATTAGATAAAGAAAAAATCATTATGTAACTCCATTATAAGATGTGTATAAAGAATAATTATGTAATTGATTGTTAAAGATATCATTGAAAAAGTATAGTTATTAATGATATTTGATGGATGGAACATTTGTAATACAAGATAAAAAAATTTAATTAATTATTTTTAAGCATGTATTCTACAAGGGTGAACAAAAAGCATTTACTTATTATTATCTGTGTCAAATTCAAAATTCTTGTGTATATCTTGAAGGAATATAAAAACTCTTTTTGTTTGATCTTCAATAATTCTTTAGATTTTACAATCTTATTAAAAACATAAATTATATAAATTAGTAGGCAATTTAAAGCTGAAGGTAATTTATACTGTTGTGACTCATGTAAATTTTAGAATTTTATTAAAAGTCTTATTGTGAATTACAACTCTGAATGCTTTTGCTGTTACTTTAATCAATTGATCAATTTTTAAAACTTATATTACAGATTGATAACATTAATAAATCAAACTCTTTAACTTTATAACTGCCTTATTAATATTACTTTTAATTAATCTATTAATATATTGTGTAATCCCTTATTCTACAATATCCAAATAATTAACTCACATTTATTTATATCTATTGCTAACAACAACTTATTTTTAATTTTTTTATATTTCATTAATATGAAATACTCTCAATAACACTATACTTAATTAATTGATACTCCTTTTTATATTACTATCCTGAATTAAATCTGCATAATAACTATTATTGTCTTTCTAAAACAAATAATAACAAGTGGTGCCAGTTGTGTGAAATTCAGATAACATACTTTAGATCTACTATATGAACAATTTTGAATAGCATCTTAGGAATAATACTAAACATGATTAGCAATATTACATATTTGGAAAGAATTTTCAAGTAACCCAATACCCTATAGAGCATTATGCTGATGACTTTTTACTATATTTGCTTTACCTCATAAGAAGACCTATTGTTCCAGTTCATCAATTTTTGAAAATAGTTTAGTTTAGCCCAACCAACCTTTTTATATACTCAGATCTTCTTGATCTGTTTTGACATTTTTCACAAATTTTCTATTGAAGGCTTCTCTAAAGCTTTATTAAGAAGATTTCTCTTTAGCTTTCAATATTATAAATAGCCAGATGATTATTCAACTTTATAAACTAGTTCTTGACCCAATATTAAGAAACTAATAGATTTTTAAAAGTCCTATTCAAAGATATCTATAATTTTAATAAAACTTCTAAGAACAATGCTAATTATATTAATGAAATTTTTGATAACATAATCAGAAAAATAACAACAATGCTCCCAACAACTCATCAAACTCTATGAATAATCTTGCATAACAAATTAGGACTTTAATAACTCAGATGCAACAAGTTTCTATGTCTTAAATTAATGTCATCCTTTTACAAATCAATATTTCTTAAATCAAAATTCCTACTCAAAACTGAGAGCTTCTTACTCTGAGTTATAAGAAGGAGAATAAGACTCTATTAACTGGTTAGAAGATGTAAAAAAAGCCTTTAAAGCCAACTAGGTCCAAGATAATTGCAAGTTTCAGTTGTTATTTCCAAGCTTAAAAGTGCTGCTGCTATATAATAGATTAGTATCAGAAACTAGTCTAGCTTGTCAATAATAGAACAATACTTAGAATCTAAGTCTAAGTTTCAGATCTATATTTACACCTATTTCAGAACCTCTGCTTTAGAAAGCAAATAGTTTACTTAATTAACACAAAAGAAACAGCTTCCTACTGAAGATGTGGATGCTTATTATATTGCTATTAAAGAACTTCTATATTACATAAAAGCTAAGAAACATTACTATTCTAATACTGCAAAAGCTCAAATTTTCATTAGTGGCCTAAGGCCTAACTTGGCTACTTCAGTCACTCTCTTTTTGTCTAAAACTCTAGCTGCTGCTAATGAAAGAGCAAAGGTGTTTAAAAATGCCTTTAAACAAAATATTGCTAACTATAATGCCTATTTTGCCACTTTTTTTTTCTCCTCTTAATATATATCTCCTTAGATACTGCTACAACAACCAAACCCAACTGAAAAAGTGATAGTTAAATTGACAAAGGCTGTCAATAATATGCTATGTCAGTTAAAGGATCCTTCTAGAAGAAATTAGAATAATTGAAACAATGAACCTTGTAAATCTTGTCTCTATTAAAGGCAAAATAGACATTTTGCTAGAAATTGTTCTAATTCTCTCAAAAAAGACAACAATAGAGATATTAATTTAGAAATAGTCAAAATTTCTTAACCATACCAACAATCAACAAACTAACCAACCCAATAATCAACAACCTAATTAGACAAATATTGATTCTCAAAATGCTAAGGCCCAAGAAGCTCTGCAGATCTTGTTAAATCTAATGAACCTAATACTACAAGAAAACAAGAAACAGAACTTCTTAAATCTCTATAAGATGTTTCTCTTATATGAAACTGAAAAAAAACCACAACAGCCTATCACAAGAATCAAACATCAATATATCTAAAAAGATTTTTTTTAAGAGGCACAGCTATCTGAGATAATCAAAACTCACACAGAACAAGCTAAAATAGTGGCAGTTGTAAAGATAAGAAGAATGATATCAGGCTTCTAGTTATTTGTAAGAAAAGAACTGAAAATAAAACTCTATAGATTTCCACTTTTGTATCCTCTTACTTTATTGTAACTAATGTTAAAGACAAGCTAGCTAACATCACTATTGGCTAATGACTAAAGAGTGTTTCTTCTATGCATACAGAACTGTCTAAAAGCCTTTAGAAAAAGAAACTATCAAAAAGAAAACCTATGCTTTTGTAAACCTCCAACTAACTCCTAAAGCTATAGCTCTTTACTGTAATGCTTAAGTTGATAGGATAGTTATTCTATTAATTATTGACAGTAAGTTTTTTAGAAGTATTATTTCAACATCTTTTCTTCAAAAAGTCAGTATTAAGATCAAGAGACCATCCATTATTAACATGATTAACATATATAAACAAAGCTAAAAAACTATTAAATAAATATCCAATTTTCTATTTATGATAGGAGAAATAAAACTTTCTGTCAACATAGTCATTACTGATATCACTTCTTATAAAGCCATCATAAGAAACAATTAGCTTTTTAAAGTCAATACCAAAATTAATTATACCAACTCAAAGATGAGTTTTATTTAAAAAGATAAAAAAGTGTTTGTTTTTATAGAATTTCATAAGCTCTAATAGCTCCTACTTCAAGAAGGCCATTATACCAAAACTGTAAGGCCTAAAGAAGAATCAGATTCTAATAATAAAGAAAAAAAAAGTGATTACAAAAAGAAAGAATTAGAGAACCAAATTTTTAGTTACTTAGAAGAAGATGAGTTCTTATCTTATTACCTTCTTTTTCTATTTAATTCTATTGACTCCAGTCTCATTTTCTCTAAGGATAAGAAAAATAGTTTGGGCCTTACCTACTATGCCTTTTATGAAGAAAATGATGACTATGATAAAATTTGTTCCCAAGGGTGAGGTGTCTATAAGAACTAATGTAACCTAAATAGCAATGATGACTACCTTAATAAGGACAACATTGCTTCAATAACAATACACCTAAAAAGAATTATAATTTCTATTTTAATAAAATCGAAGAATTTCTCTATGAGCTATATGTTGGTAAACTTGACCCTAGAGATAATGATCAGTTAAACTAATTGCTGTTAACATATGACAAAATCTTCACTTAAACCTTACAAGACTTAGGATGCACCAACTTAGTTAACTACAAAATCTATACTGATGATGTCACTCTCATAAGACAAAAGCACTATTGTATTTTCTCTAATAAGAAGAAGTTTTTAAGTGAAAAAATTGACCATATGCTGAAGAAAGGTGTGATATAACCATCCAACAGTCTATAGGCTTCTACTATCATTATAGTAAATAAAATGACAAAACTGTTTTTATATTAACTATTATTGATTAAATGCTATAACTAGAAAGGACAGTTACCTATTGCCTCATATTAACAATCTTCTTTATATTCTATTAAATTCTGCTTAGTATATCTTTTTTGATCTTGCTAGCAGCTATTGGCAGATTAAGATGCATTCTGATAATAAAGAGAAAACTGTCTTTACCTCCCAATATAGTATATACAAATTCAATATTATGCTATTTGGCTTGACTAATGTGTAAAGGTTTTTGTTATTCGAAGTACTTTGTATATAATTTTGCCAATAAAAATACTTAAAATTTTATTAAAGAAA